GTTCGAGGCCAGCCTGGGCTACCAAGTGAGTTCCAGGAAAGGCGCAAAGCTACACAGAGAAACCCTGTCTCGAAAAAAACAAAAAAACAAAAAAACAAAAAAAAAAAAAAAAAAATTAGATGAATGAATATATTCAATGTAAACATAAGTAGCCACAGGTTTAAAGGGTTGCTCATGAAATGGGCTAGAACTCTGTCTTCAGTACCTTGTTCAGCCCATGCTTTATTTTTGAAAACCCTCCCTTGTGGCTGTGAAGTCTTAATGATAGCATAATCCTGGAGCCCAGGTGTGATGTCTCCCTCACTGCAGACCCCCAGAGCTTACCTGGCATGCCGGATGGATGCAATGGCATTGCTGAACTCGCTGTCAATGCTGCGGCAGTTGTAGAATTCCTCATAGGCTGGCCGGGAGGAGCCTTGGTACTCAATGCGGCTGATGCGGCAGATACCCACAATCAGGATGATGAGCATGAGCACAAAGGCCACACAGAGGGCTCCGATGATGATGTAGAGTGAGTGCCGGGGCATGTTGGTGAGGCTCTCAGCCATGTGCCCAGACTTCCACTGCAGGTCTGAAGGCAGAGACAGAGACATGGCAAGGAATGAATTGTAGCAGTTAGCATGCTACAGCACTAACTCCACATGAGGATCATCTAAACTAGGAAAGATTATTTTCTGTGAATAATCCAAATCAAGATTCAATATCTTTAACATTAAGGGTCACTGACAACTTACAAAGAAAAACCAAGAAAACACCTACTTTGATTGGATGTGTAATGTCACCAAAGGACCATGTGTTTGAACACTTGGTTCCCAGTTGGTGGCCATGTTTGGGAAGGATGTGGAACCTTTAAGAGGTGGAGCTTTACTAGAAATCTAGAGTCACTGGGGGAAGGTGGGCTTGAGATTATACACCCCAGCCCCACTTCCTGTTCACACTCTGCTTCCTGACCTCATGTGCTTCCCCCCACCACGATGGACTGTCTCCCTTCCAATGAAGAGCCAAATAAACCCTGCCTTCCTGAAGGTGCTTCTCTTCAGATATTGTGCCATGACCAGAAAAGTAATTGACTCCAGAGTTAATTTCAAACCACAATTCCTCTACCTGGTGCGAATATTATTTCAAAATAATGGAAACCACAGTTGACAAGAACACAGAAATGGAGGCTGAAAATTGATGCTTGACCCTTCTTGTGAACTTAGTGGTAGAACTTGACCCCAGCTTTAGCCACTTGAAACTTCCTACAGAGGACGTAGCCCTGTAAATGTGCAAAGCTCTGTGTACAATGACATTTATCCTGGGCTAATAATATTTAAATGTTCAATAATCAACCATCACACATTTACAAACAGCTCAGAAAATAAGGTCAGGCCCTATGTACTTACCTCTCAGAGTCAATAAATATTAATGGCTTATCATTTGGCTTTATATTTCTTTCACATGTTTTTAAAATGAAATAATATGCTGCAGATAAAGATGAAGTCCCCCACTCTCATGTCCTCTCCTTACCCCACCAACCCCAAAACAATTTACAAGAGTCAAGAGGAGGAAGACAATCCAAGTATTCAACTCCTGGTGAGGCAGAAAGAAAGATATTCATTTAATAGCACAAAGAAATGAAAGAATACAGCCAAATGAGACCTGCTCAGGTGGTGAAAATAATTCAGCAATCACAGTGAGTTTAAAATAATTACTTGGATATTGAAAAGCTCAAAGTAGGTCATAACAGTAGCAAGTTCACACTGCTTCCCTAGGTGGGCTAAAATCTTTAGAAACATCTCCTTTAATAACTACCAGATCATATATAATTTTTCCTACCTCACCCTCATGAGAGAAACAGCCTAGGAAACTGACATCCCTTTAGTGGAAGCAAGACAGAAGCTGAGGTCTGTGTGCCCAGTATGCATCAACAGTGCCTCTAGAAGACAGGATTATAGGGGATTTTAGGGTCTTTTGTATACTTTTCTATCATTTTTAGAAATGACCTATTCTTTCTATGATTAAGAAATGAACAGTAAGTTATTGGTATAAGCACCCATAAGAGAGTCTCCACATAGCAGTTGAAAGAGCATAGGCCTTCTCATCATAACATCCTCACTTTATCTCAGCTCCAACATTTGATCTATCTCCCTGAGCCTCTGACCCTTCATGTACAACAGAGAAGCATCAATACCTGCCCCACTGATCTGTTGTGAGCATAAGCTAGAAAACTGAGAAAAAGCAAAATGAGAAAAGGCACTTGGCGGGGGGCGGGGGTCCTTCAGAAGGGACTGCTGTGATGCTGGAAGAAGGAAGGACAGAGAAGAGTACACTGTCCTGTGAGGCAGATGCTCTGGGCTGAGGATTATAAAACATCAGCTGCCCCTGACCTTCCATCAACCTCTGTCACCAGGGACAAGGACTGGATGTCACTTCTGTGACTGGCACTAGTCCACAATGTCAGATGATGTCTAGCTATTATGAACAGGATGCAAAGGAAACTGCAAATCAAAAGGAGCTGGGCTTTCTCTATTGTAGTCATACCATCGCCAGCACCATTACCCTGCAGGGTCATCGCTGCCACAGTAGGACTTTTCCTGGTGTCTAGATAGAGGATTCAGAGAAGAGTGGGAAAAAGAACATACCTCCAGGCACCTTTCACCAACCTGATTATGTGAAAATACTGTCACACACTCAGTTACAGCTTCGGTGATCATGGCCTCTGAGAATCGACCTTGAAATCAAGAATATGACCCTGAAAAGGACATCCTAGAGGAGAGGACATGGACAGGCAGACAAGGGCCAGGCCTGCAGACCCACTTCCTACAAGTCTAACAGATAAGTGGGCCCTGCTCTTGGTCTTGAAGCTTCTAGAAAGAGATGGGATGAATGAAGAATCTTCTGAGCCTACAGCCAGATCATCTGATCCCTGAATCTCTCGCAGAGGCCTGTGACATCTGGTTTGACATTACCATCCAAGACTGCCTGCGCTAAGGCAGCAGAGGGAGCTCAAAAAGCTGCCTTATCCCCAGAGTACTCACTCCTCAGCGAGTGAGGAGATGAGGAGAGCAACATAACACACTGCAAAGAAATAGTCTCCAGGGATGGCAGAAGGTGTTTTGTGAAACCAGAACTGAGGCTCAGTCCCCAAGTCAGCAGCCCTTTCTTTTGGCAATATCTACTGCCTGCTTGGAGAGACGACTCTGTTTTCTGGCTGAAAAAGTAAGTGTGATTCATTTGATTTCCAAGTATTATAGCATTCATTCCCTTAAAAATTCAGCAGCAGGCTGGAGTCCAAAGCAAAACAGAACATGTTTTATCATCCATTTAGCATCAACACAAGGGTGGCCAGGGTGGTTTCTACTCCAACTAGTAAAGTGCTCAGATCTGATGGCCAGGGAGGACCAGAATTTTTTTTAATTATGTTTATCTCTGTGTGTGTGTGTGTGTGTGTGTGTGTGTGTGTGTGTGTGTGTGTGTGTGCACTCAAGAGTGCATGCACACATGTCATAGCACATGAGTAAAGGTCAAAGGACAACTTCCACCATGGTATCAGTCCTCTCCTTCTACCATGTGAATCTTGGGTGTAATACTCAGGTCGTCAGCCTTGGCAGCAGTTACCTTCATCCACGGAGCCATCTCCCCAGCCCTCACAGGAGTACTTAGAGGGCTTTTGAGCTTTATGCATGCTCTGTGTGTAAAGAACATGAATACCATATTGACTATGTGCATGCACAAGTTCACACCCACATGAGAACTACTGTGAAGAAAACATTGTGCCTCATTACTCGGTCAGTACAGCATCATCCCATGTGTTTGCATGACCCTCCATTTGCACCACATCTCAACTGTTTGCATTCCAAGGTGTTTAGACATTAAGGAGAAATCTATCACAATTCTCAAAACAAAAACAAACAAACAACAACAACAAAACCTGTTTTTCTTTATCCTCTGCCCGCATCTTTACAGCTAGATTTGTCTTTATTGTCATCTGAAATGTTCTTGACAGAAGTGAAGGCAGCTGCTTTGCAGGCTAATTGGTTTGGTAGCCAGCCTGGATCTTTTTACTCTAACACTCAGTCTGAGACACATCATCCAACGTACCCTCGCCAGGTGGCTGCAAACGCCATCTCCCATCCAGGCTCCATCTTCATAAGGCATGGATTTTCCACATCCCCTGAGTCCCATTTACTGTGTTGGCTACAGCCCAGCCTGGAGAAGAAATCTTAAACCTGAACATACAGAATGGGATTATCTCATGGGCCCCAGCAGGTGTGCGACCAGGAATGCTTGCTCGAGAGCTGTTTGGGGAAAATTTCATAAATGTCCCACTTGTAAGTTTCAAGGATCATTTGCATTTTTGTTTAAATTTGTCTGAAGTTCTGTGTTTTTCGAAGGGTGTTTACACTGAACATTTTGGAACTGCGGGAGGGAGCTGTGCAGAGAAGCTGTTCAAGGTGAAACAGGCAAGCTGGTGACAAAACCAATCGATCCAAATTAGACTTCAGCTTATTTGCATAATTTATTCTAAAATAAATTGTCCATATCTATTTTGTAATCTATCTGGGTGAACATAGCTGGCAAATTTACTCATCTGTGTTATTTCAAAAGAGACTGGAAGGGAGCATATTTGTGATGATGTCATTTAATAATTAAACAATTCTTAAGGCCATCTGCTGCCTACAACCACAAAGTAAGATTTCAGATTATGTCATATTTTCCATGGCTGAAGGTGAGCTGTCCAGTGAAAGTATGGACAATACTCAGTCAATAAGCCTGAGAAAAATTAACAGTCATTGTTGATCTTCAAATTATGGATAGATGGTAAAGTGTGCTGATTTGAATGAAATAGCCCCCCTAGGCTCACAGGAAGTGGTACTGTTTGAAAGAATTAGGAGGTGTGGCCCTGTCGGAGGACGTGTGTCACTGGGGGTGGGCTTGGAGGCTTCAGAAGCCCAAGCTAGGCCCAGAGTCACTCTCTTCCTGCCACCTACGCATCTGGATATAGAAATCTCTGCTCTTTCTCCAGCACCATGTCTGCCTACATGCCACCATGCTTCCTGCCATGATGATAATGGACTAAATTTCTGAAACTATAAGTAAGCACTAATTAAATGTTTTCCTTTATAAGAGTTGCTGAGGTCATGGTGTCTCTTCACAGCAATAGAACAATGACTAAGACAGAAGTGGAACACACTTCTCCTTCATCAAAACCCATTCACAGAACACCTATAGCTTGAGTGCTCACTGTGTGCGGTGGTAAAGCAGGAAGAAAGTTGGCGGAGAAGTGAGCTCTTGGAGCCTTGGGTCTTTTGACAGTACAAGCATTAGCAAACTGCCATCAAATAGTGAAAGTACGGGTATGCCAAGACAGCGTGGGAGAGGCTGTACAGAAGCAGGGAAGGGGAGGGGGGTCACTTAACTGTGCCAAGACAACTTGTGTAATGGGGGACACTAGACACAAACTGAAACGAGGAAGAGCAGAGGGAAGACAAGCCAGGCAAAGCACCGGAATAAGGCCAGGACTGTAGCAGAAGAGCTGGACAAAGGATCAAAGGAGATCAGCATGAGGAGACTGAGGCAGAGAAGCCC